TATTTTTGGTATCGTTTCCTTTCTGTTTTTGTTTGTTTGTCCCTAGTGCTCGTCCGGATACAAAACCTAGAGGCAAAAAGCTTTCATCCTCATTCATTCTAGGACTTCCCTACTACCACTTGGGTGTTCAATTCCAAAGGCAAAAGATACAAGAATTGGTACCTTTGAATGACCTGGTCTGAAGTGAAAAGACTCTAGATCTGGTACATTTTGAATGTCTGATGACCAGGTACTTCAGATGCGTAAAACAAGCAGCTAAAGAGGTTAGCAATGAAACAGCGCAGCAAGGACTTACCTGATGATCAAGCTTCTTGATCTCATTGTTGCTATCAACAATCTTCTTGCTCAGTTTATTTTGTGCCCTTATCAATGCTGCAATCTCAGCTTCTTGTGCTTTGATTGCTGATCTTCGCTCGTCTAGTGATTCCTGAGCTTTGCTTAACTCCTCCTTTGTCTTACCTTCCTGCAACAATAACCATCACCACCATTGAATCCATAAATCTCTCAATATTCAAAAGGGAGGCATCTCATTTGCTTAATATATATGTAGTTCTCTGTAACTTACAAGCATCCAATGTTGGTCTCTGGCAAGGCAGTTGTTGAAGAATCTTTCCTTTCTCAGTAGGTACTATTCAAATGCGGACTGTAGGGGAGGAACAGGTACTTGCACAAGACAACACGGTTGGGCATCGAAAGAGTAGGAGGAAGAAGCGAAGAAGAGGGGCTAAGCAGAGAAAGGGAGTTTCGAGAAAGCAAGCTGGCAGAATGATAGTGTTCACAGCCGCAGGTGGGAGATTCGCCTCGCTTTGCTCGCTCCTCCAACCGCTGGAATCAACAAACCAGGACATTTGGGTTCAGACGGATGCGGGTGAGTATTGGCTCGACTCCTGGAAAACGATTTGGGAAAGGTACGGCGAGACCATGATCGTCATAGACTCAACGAGGATGAAGCTAAGGGACGCTAAGAAGAACATTCAGGCGGGCTGTCGCTTCCGTATTAACCGAGTGATAGTTACTTCTTCCGGTGTACAACGGAATAAGCGCTTTCTTCGCGACCTCCTCGCCCAGCCGTGGCGGGTTCTGTCGTTGGGTAGATTCATCTGTAGAAAGCTGATCGCGCTATACCGCACCACGGGTCTTTTTTCGAGCAATAGGACGAAGAGTGAGCTCCGTCAGAAGGTGGCACACGCGATTAAGGGGAAGTCTGGCATCGATATGAGGAGGAGGGTGATTGTACTTGTCCCGTTTTCCGTGCACATTAACATGGGTGCGGTAAGGGACGTGATCGTAAAGACGATCACATTATCAATAAGGGACGAATTCGTTAGATCTCTCGTCATAGAGAGAACGAGGATTGTGAGACTGAAAAGCAGGACTGTGGGGAATATCATACATAACTACAGAAGAATGTTGCAGGACGGGCCGGTACCCTGCACATGCGGTAGTTTCTCCTTACAAAGGTTCCAAGGGCATGTACAAACCAGACTGGACCTTGTACCAGGCCTCCATCGATTCCTCCACAACTCCAAGAACGTTACTTGTGGGAGGGTCATAACCAAGATCCAGCTGATGGAGGTGATCGCGCTTGCGATCCCGAAGGTTTGGAGGAATAGTACTCTCCACCTCACTAACGAGGAGTGGTCAAGGTGTTTCAATGGAAAAGCATCTGTATGTCCTACATTGCATGAGGAAGAAGTTAAGCGCGAAGTACGGTGCCTCCGGGGTCTGGTATTAGTCCCATTGGACCGGAACCCTGGCGCCACGTTGGTGGTCTGCCCCGTGCTTTACTTCCATGCTTTCCGAATGACCTTCTGTTGGAATTCTGGGTACATCCCAAAGACTGTAGGGGAGGAACAGGTACTTGCACAAGACAAGGCAGACTACATGAGGGACCGACTCCATGCATTCGGTACATGGCGCACATGCGGGAAGGTAGGGAGAGAATATGTGATCCCTAAGGATAAGGATTACACCAGGTGGCGATCAATCTCTCCGTCATGGTCGGAGCCAACCAGGACGCTGAGCGCCAGACTGGGAAGAGCACTCCGGTATATGCTTCTGTACGTACCCGCGACGTGGCATTTCAGTTTGCGATCCACGGACTTGCTGAGGGAGACGATGACGGACTGTGTGGCGAGGGTCCACAGAGTCGGCAACACCGTCATAGCTAGGAGCTATGACATCAAGGACATGTTTGCCAAGCTTCCGCACGACGACATTGCTGATTCGGTGCATTGGTTGGTACAGATGCATTCCTACCAAGGCCTGGTCGGCGTGAAGGTAAGCATTCGAGGGAAGTGTTGCAAGATGGCCAGGACTGTGAGGAAGGAGATGGGATATCTGTTCATCTCCTTTCATGAGATCATGACCATCTTGAAGTTTGAACTGCAGCACACGTATATTGTGTGCGAACGGCGTGTATATCAGCAAATTTTTGGGGTTCCCATGGGTAAACATTCATCTCCGGCCTTGGCAAACTTACTGCGCGCCAAGGCTGAGTACATGTTCTTGAGTGCTCTTGGGAAGGACCGGCGGTTAGTAGCCGGAGTAAGGATGGTAGACGATGCATTTATCTTTCTTGCATTTGACGAACGCGATGATAGCTCGTACATTAGAGCTTTGGAGATTGGGGAATTGTTCACTAGATGCTATCCAGACTCCTTGAAACTGGTAAGGAAGGATGACGGCAGTAATGCATGGGATTTTCTGGGAAGCAGGGTGATCCTCGAACCACGGCCGGCTGTCGTGCATATTTTTCCAAGAACTAAGAATCAGGAAACAATCATGTCAGATGGGGTTCTGCATTTTCATTCAATGCAGGACTACCGCTCGTACTCCGCGAAAAGATGACTTTAACAGCCTCAATGCTGCGGCTCTGGAAGACTTCCACGAATGATGATGCGACACAAGCTTCGATTATCTGCCTCATGAAGGAGGCTCGCCTCCGGGACTACCCCCCGGAGATCTTCTTCGGTTCCTTGGCTAGGTTTGCCAAGGTTGTGGGTGGTACCTGGGGATCTTTGATCCAACAGGTATACCCCCACTGCCGGGTTTTTGGGTACTCTCCGAAGCTAGATTAGGAAGAGATTCGTAGTTTTTTACAGTTCTCACACTCCGTGACTTCCGTATCCTAAAAAATGTTTTTGGGCTCTCGGTTCCCCGATCGTGTTTTTGTCGGAGGACCATTTGTACGGTTACACAGGTGCAGTGTTTTTTGGGCACACCTGACTCGTGGGTAAGCTGTACGCCTGGGTCAGAGACGGGCCGGACTTTTTTTGGTACCTGTATACCGGCCGAATTTTAATTTCCATTTTTTGGACCTTTCCCGTTAGTATTTTGGGCCCCTCCGAAGAAAGATGATCTCATGATGAATCTGGACACGTTTGAGAGAAGAATTCCGGTGTTGGGACATAAAAAAGACCGGGCCTCGACGGGTTTGGGCGCCGGGTATGCAGAGGGTCGGTAGATCAGAAGTATGCTACCAGTCGGAACTCCTTGCTATACATACCTGGATATATTCCCGATCTCTAGTGGTTTTTTCAGACGCGCCAGTTATCTAAGGTATCTCCGGATCGTGCCCGTCTCCTGGCTGTGAGGGATGAGAGTGAGGAGACGATCTGTGCTTGTAGGTACTACCAGCCTGACATGCCGTGAAAGTGACGAGGTAGAAGGACTGAGGGTGAAGAGAAGAAGGGTGTGGGACAGAGGTAAGAGATGTGACTTGAAGAGGAGTTATACTCCTCCATAACCTCCTGATGAGACTTGGACACGCAACAAGTCGAAACGCGTCGAGGTGTATGCGTGGCTTTTCTATACGGTGTTCGGTTGAGTACAACATTGAAGTTTCTTCTTTGGTAACTCGGTCCTCCGTTGTTGTTCGGTTTTTTTGCTTGTATTCTTCTGTTTTCCAACTTTTCTCCTATTTCGCAGTTGAATTTGCTTATTCAGATTATTCCTGCTCTTCACTCTCTCTCTCTCTCTCTCTCTCTCTCTCTCTCTCTCTCTCTCTCTCTCTCTCTCTCTCTCTCTCTCTCTCTCTCTCTCTCTCNTCTCTCTCTCTCTCTCTCTCTCTCTCTCTCTCTCTCTCTCTCTCTCTCACACACACACACACACACACACACACACACACACACACACACATGTGAACAATCTTTTGGTCTGCAGCACTATAAGCCCCATGGCAGTAGTATGCAACAACCCACATAGTTTTCGGTCTGAGAAATCTGAGTTTGTCATAAGCAGTTTTGTGCATTTGCTGAGATTTGCCGAGTTTTCCCTCGGTTGGACTTTGATTTCTGAGACCTCCTTGAGAATGGTTTGCCTATGATGAATCTATGTCTATGCCAATATACTTTACGCTGCTCAAGTCTTGCTGTACTCACATGTCTGTTCGTGCTTTGATATGGGAGTTGGGGAACGACTTATCTGAAAATGCTGAATTTGAAGGAGTAGCTCAGTAAATTGGGTACGGCAGACAGGTACGCAGATTTTTTTAAGGGCAATAGCCTTGAGATATCACCACTGAACTGATCCACCCCAGGTAATTCAGAATTATTTTATCATCCAATTGTATCTGGATTCGAACTTGGGTCTGTATTTCAACAGTTCGTGGGTGTACCAACTGAGCTAGGGCCGTAGGTACAGGTAGTAAGGTACATAGATTCTTGAGAGGGCAAATTCGCAAGTTTTGAAATTTCATGTGGTTCTCATACAGGGATGCTTACCTGAGGGCCATAACTGGATTAGAGCGTCAAGGGGGCATATGCCGCAATTTGGACACCTAGATGGGCTAGACTGGACCGAATGTGAACTGATATGAGGCTCCAAGGGTACATCAGGTTCCAAGGGTGACACCGTCCGGAACGAATTTCCCGCCTTTTTTTAGGCCTGGTAGGCGTGGAGGGAAGGCATATATGAACAGTCTGCAACGACTTTTCCGCCTTTTTTTAGGCCTGCTAGGCGTGGAGGGAAGGCATATATGAACAGTCTGCAACGACTTTCCCGCCTATTTTTAGGCCTGGTAAGCGTGGAGGGAAGGCATATAATAGCAACATGAACCCATGAAGGAAGAGCTTGGCTGTAGGTGAAGGCAGTATATCACTTGGTGTACTGTTTTAGTTCCTTTCCTGACAATCCTTACACTGCTCTGCCCTGAGCGTGAGTAGTGGACTAGCTAGGGAGTCAAGAGGGAGCTTGGAGATGAGGGAGATGGCCTCCATTGCTGGAGGTGAAGAAGAAGGGTTTGGATATGGCAATGTTAGTTACTGCACACATTGGTGTGTAAAGAAAGAAACCGCGATGACGATTTCCTTTGGCTGTGGTGGACTACCATCTTCAGCCCCATTTGTGTTGCTTCATCATTTGAGGGTTTTTTTTTAGTGCAATGCTCTGAAGGAGAGAGCGGAAAGTTCTTCTATGCCACCATGTGTACATCCCAGTTGAGTGGTGTGGATGACATGCCCG